ATAAAAAAAAATCCTGACCCTCTTCTCCGACATCCTTTGGTCTTTACCGGTTTGCCCTACTGTTGCGATAACCTACGTTGAATTTTCCTATTTCGCAATTAGAAAAATATACCGAAATATCTAATTTAATTATCAAAAACTATTAACTTAACATTACGTAAACAATTCACACAACTCACTGCGTTATCATTTTTAACCGTCACCAGATGGCGTCTATGCTTTTTTTAGTAGCTATATACTGTTAGGTTAGGTTAGGTTAGTCTTAGAGTATTAAAATAAGATCAATGTTTGTCACTGCCCCCTCTAATTGGGGTGGAGTGAAGGTAATATTGTATTTACCTGAATTAATTCCGCTGAAAATTTTTGATGGCAAATGGGACATTTTTCTTTATTTTTTTCTGGTATAACTTGCGAAATTGTACCAATTTTTTGATCCTCGTCTGTTTGCCGTGTCGACCTTTTAAGGGATGGTTTGTTTTGATTCTTTTCTGAAACTGCTACAGAAACAGAAACATTATAAAAATGAGACGAACAGTGGCGTAGGGGGTTTAAATCTTCCATCGATTACGGTTTTTGTTATCACGTTGCAGTTTGATCAGTATCAGAAACAACAGCAAAATTGATTGTACCACACTGCAATTTGATAAAGATGATCATCTTTTTTAATTCCGTTCTTCATGTGATTATCATATTTTTGACTAATATTCGTAAGTTTCCAAAAAAAAAACCGTTGTTTTGATTACTTACGTATTGGGATATAACATTACAGGCAATTTAAAATTTCCTTAGGAGAACTGCTTAGTCATTCGTGACCTAGTTGAAGAGATATCTGCACATATAAAGGTGAAAGAAAAATGCAGGATAAGCCTTAAAAATCGACCAGGGAACTAAATCTATATCGCGCGAGAAGACGCGAGCCTCAAGATAACTGCTCTAAAAAAGGATTTTTTCGCTGACAACAAACTGAGACAACGGCTTTTTATAAAGCTACACTTCTTTTTTGCGCTCTTAAGTGTCATAATCGTTACACGACGTCGACTGTTCTTACGAAGCAACACTATATTAAAACATGTAAAATTTAATGACGCAATAAAAGACAATGGCCACTGACAAATGAAGGGGATGCTTTATCAAGCTTTTGTTTAATTTACAAAACAGAGATAATTAAAACAACACCAAGATCCTATCATCAAAAAGAATAGCCCTTCTTGAATGAGCTGTACTCGTAGATCACGTGGACTATCTTAAAATTTCACCTTTATCAATTTTTTGGTTCATTTTCATCAAATTATTGTATACCATTGTTTACATTATTCCTAGTTCTTGCCTTTGAATTTTAATGTTGCATTTCCTCATGTGATTATCAACGTTGCTGATTCCAGTACTCGTAGGTTTTCAAAAGCAGTTTGTGTGCACAATTGTAGACATGTTCTTGCGATAAGTGTGGTACCAGAGGTTTCCAATATAATTTTAAAGGAATCTAAAGTTTTTGATGCAAAACAAATGCGTCGTTTTGAACGGTTAAAATACAAATGCGTGACTCGACCAGCCGATAGCGTAGCACGAACAGTAGATTGCATTGATTGGGAACACGAACGCGTTCTGTTTCACCTTTACCTCGAACGCGTTCGTGCGCAGATGTATACATACCTTTATAAAAGCATTTTATAATAAAGACAAATAAATAATCAAAAAAACAGATTTTGTCAAGAAACAAAAATACTTTTTCTTTTCGAGATAGTCAACATGAAAAACGTTTTCAAAATATATGTTCCGTGATGATTATATTTTATAAATTAATTTGCATTTGTAAGAAAATAGTAAACTGTGATGTGAAATCAAATACAAAAGTTTTGAATAAATAAAAGACAAATTCACGGATTGTTTGTTTCCCTTTCTGTCTCGACAGGACACCAGTTGACGCTCTACTAATTCGAGTTTGATTAATACATGTGTGACAGGGCGGAATGCAAATTGTTCTTTTACAAGGACCAGTTTTTTAGGGGTTCACCAAAGCTCGAAACTTATTACATTTTGATGAAAATTTCACTCCATATGTTTTGAAAATGCTACTCCATATGTTTGAATTAACTTCGGAATATTATTTTATATAACGTGTCGGTTAGTTTGAGGCAATCACAGAAACTGCTTTCATTTTATCTGAACTGCACCTACTCTATTAGGTATACGAGTGTAATTTTACCATTTTACTATATTTTGTAAATTTATTAATGTTCTGTCATTTAAATCTATAAAGCTTTCATTTCATAATTTAATTTTGTAATAATTTAACAGTTCTGGTCTGTTGGTACACCCCCAATTTTACTTTTTGAATTTTAACTCTTGTCAATAGTGAGTGGTAAACATTTATAGATGGTGGTACATTGTCAGTTACTTGAATTTAATTATGCTACAAATTTTTTAAAAAGCAACGAACTTGCCGATTTCGTGTACCTTCTAACGTAAGCAAAATCGTGTTTTAAGACATACAGGGTGTAACAGAGATAAGTGCTGAGCTTGCAAGAGGTGATAGAGCAATATAAAGTACGAACATTAGTGAAAAAGTACAGGTAAATTCAATTCCGGCCCTGGTAGAGAAATGCGGCCCGCAACGCTGCACTCAATTAAGCGGAGAATTTAATTTTTTTGGTCAGTTAACTTACAACCGTCTTTCTTAGACGTTAGATAATCGCCAATGTTTATATTAATCCAAGTAACTGGAGAGTTTGTATCGCAATACCTATTCTGTAGACACCTATGCTACCATTTCACGCACAGGACCGGCTTATAAATTATTCTAATTTTCTTAGTTTTTTTGTCCTTAACAATGCTGCTGAACTTGACACTTATTTGTTACATCCTGTATACTTATTAGGTGATGCAATTTTACCGAATACGTGAAATATAATTATGCAAATCAAACAGAGGGATGTTAAATTACCCAGATGTAATGTTTATAGTATAATAATTATTGATAACTGTTAATGTTTTCTGTGAATTTAAAGTGTTATTCTTTGTAAGTGTAAAAACGGATAATGATAACCTATTGGAGTGGTTGTGTGCCTATTGCCTATTCCATGAAAGGCAAAAAATGCTGCTTATTTCGTGAAATATGCAAAATTTTACTGAGTAGGTACGCGCAATGGGCAATTATACGTATTCGACGTAACATTGGCTTCAAATTAGCATCTAAAAGGCATCTAATATTGGTGCTTGCTGAACCCAATTTGCCACCAAACTGCGCTCTGTTATTTTCTCAGGTGTTGCAATAGGGGTTATATTTTTCTCGACTGTAATACAAATTACAGACTCAGGCGTTATTAGGTACTGAATTAATTTGGCTATTGTAAATTATTTATTAGAATTTAATATTATTTGCATCTTTAGGGTACCCTTGTAGATGTTCCGTCTTATTTAGTTCTGAATACCTAATTATTTTGAATAAAAAAATCTTTTGCTTTGTGCAATAAATTCGTAGTTTTGACTTAAATTAAAGAGCAAAAATTGCAATTTCATTAAGATTTTGTGACGTTTCAATGCCACAATAAACCAAAGCGATAAAATACGTTGAATATAAAATTTCCTACCTACCTTTTTTACTGGGCCCTACATTCTTTTTTTTGGACATCGGATTTGGAGGCACTATTCTTCTTCTCAAACAAGTATTTACATCTTTTTGTGTTTCTTTTACGATAAACGCATCATCGTCTGTCCTCATAATCAAATTACTGTTTTTATCACTCACAAAATCGCTATTTTCTTCATCACTGAGAACGGTTAATGTTTGCATGCTATCCACTTCCAGTTTATTTTTCATTTTTTTCTGATCATCCATTACAAGATTATTGAACAACACTTCGGATCTTGTTAAATTTCCGGAACCTTCTCTGTTTATTGACATGGATGTAAATAAACAATCTTTGAGAATATCCGGAGATAAGTTTTCAGTCCTTGATTCTCCTTTTTCGTAACTGTCAATTTTAGTTTCGGCACTCTGAAGATTGCGGACTGAAATAGGGCTTGAGTTTTTTCTTCTACCGTTTTCCATACGGATTCTATTGGCGTGTTGTACTCCAATTGATGGGGAAACGCTCTTTGACGTGTCCGATTTTTTCTCATCGGCGTCGTTATCGCTCTCGACATGTGTGCCGTTCTGACTCAGAAGAAAATTTACTTCGTCATCGTCATTGAAAGAAGTTCCCAAGATATTTATACTACCGTTAAAATTGTGGCTAGGTAAGACAGGCGTCCCCCAATTGATAAAAAATCGTGATTTTTGTAATGCCTGTTTATACTTTTGGGTAAGGAAAAAATGGTGATTATAAATGGCCTTTAGTCTATCGCTGAAATTCATTCTATCTAATTTTTTACTATATAAGAATGGTTTTTCGTAGATTAGGGGAGTTCTTATCCGCGTAAGAGAAGAGTGTTGCGAGGTGCAATCGAATATGTTGATATCTTTTTGGGAATTATCGTTTGCTTTACGTTTGGCATTATCAAGTTGGGAAGTATTTGCCAATTTACGTTTTAAATTCTTATTTTGACGGCTACTGCCAGTTGATGGTTGCCATTCCGGATCTTCGTTTTCTTTTTCTTTCGTTTGTCTTTCGTCCACTGTGTCTTCAGTAATGTAACATTGCTTCGTATCGTTTGTGGTAGTTGTTTGTGGTGTTTTTTGTCTATTGTTTTTATTTCGGCGAAGGGTGTTGACGGAAAAGAAAAAATCATTATCTTCATTTTCGTTTTCTACGTTATTGTCTGATTCAACTTCATAAGAAGCTGAAGTTTCTTTAGTGAAACTTTCCGAAACTTTTATGGCGTTGTAAAATTCTATTTTCTCTTGAAAACTGAGATCATCAGAAACCCCCGCATCTGCCACAAAAATTTCTTTTACTTTGTTAATAACCGAAAAGCCGATATTAGTTATTAAAAAGAACAATAAT